GGTCAGGGGGCCGAGCGCTGTGGCTAGACAGGTTAGGGTGCCGGGCGCTGCGGTCACATGGTCAATTATATCCATGTTTTACATACAATTGATCCATGTACCAAATTGAATCGAGGGGGGGGGGGTCCAAAAATGGTATATTAGGAAATTACCGAACTACTGTGATTAACGGTAAAACTGCAATATTTGGTGTTGTAAAGCAAATCTTAGCTGTTAGAGGTTATAGGTTAGATTATATATAATTCAGTGATTATGATTATTTTCGAGACAATCACCACGAGAGATGCCAGAGTGGCCAAGGTCTGTTGGTTAGCTATACTAGCGGCCGAGCAACGCTGCTTTTACTCCTTGGACAGACTTGGAGCCTCAACGTTATCCCTCTAGGACAGGCTAGAGGCGGATGGTATGGCTACCTTGTGAGAATTATTAGAGTAAGGAAGTCGCGGTTCAGCCTTAGTATAAGATTTTTGGAGCACCCCTACCCCCTACTATCAATTTTGTGCACGCGATTTTAGCTATATTTATACATGAAATAATATTTATTTTTGCATTTTAGGGTAAGGTTAGGTAAAGGCAATTTCTGGGCCGACCGCTGTGGCAAGGACAGACAAAGGGGCCGAGCGCTGCGACAGGAATGCTAGGGGACCAAGCGCCGCAGCTAGGACAGGCTAGTAGGCCGGCCCTGCGGCCCCATCTCTAACTATGCCAATGTGTTTAAGAAGCATGCACCAAAATGATGGTGGATCTTCCAAAATCCCTTACTAATACCGATGTCACTTTATTTTGCAAAAATAGAAATTGATTTACCTTTCCAGGTAAAGAATGAACCCTGATGCTCCTGATGTGTTGACCCCATTGTACTGGCTGGCGGGGACATGGAAATCCAAGGATTTTGGCCAGGGAACATACCCAACTATTAAAGATTTTCAGGTAGTATTTAATTTCTTTTGTTTTTTCAAATAGTATATTTTATTATTTTAATGAAGAAGTCCTAGTACGTCAAATCTTGATATTTGTCAGTACATTGCTGTTTTTGTTAACTTTTTTATCTTATAAATCTTTAAAATATAGAAAGTAATTTACGAAAAGCAATCTCATTCATTAGCACATTCATGTATCTTTTTTTAACATTTATTCGCATAAATTCGCAATATAGTATTTTTTCTTGTTAATAAAAGTTGGAAGAAGAAGAATTGGTTTTGATCTGTTTATGTTTAGTATAAAGACGAACTAGTGATCAGCTGCACTGGTCAACCCCTCCTGGACTTCAGCAGCAGAACCTTCCATGCAGTCTCTAACAAGATGATGCATAGGGAGACAGGGTTCATCAAGATCAAGGATAAGGTTAGGTTAGATTAGAGGAGGGGGGGGGGCAGGGTTCATCAAGATCTAGGATAA